CCCCACTAACAACCACCCCCAGGCATTAAAACTTCATTTAAGCATTAAAACCATTTTACATTCCTGATGTTAAAACAACAAAAGTTGTTGCCAGCCTGATTTAAAATCTTGTGACCGTGTTGTGCAGCTTTGCATTTTAAAGTTACTTAAATTATAGCGCTATCATGAGTACAGAAATAAAATGGAATTTGCTTATCAGTTTAATGGGTGGTCATTTGGAGGATCCCTCAACTGCAGGACCCTAGACTTGAGCCCCAAGTTCCAACCTGAGTTGCACCACTGAGGTCTTGTAGCACCGTGGTTGCCATTTTTCATGGAAATTCATGAAACCGAAGCAGAAAATGAATGTGCCATCTTGGATTAAGAATTTAGGATGTAAACAGGACCCCTGCGCCTAACCCATGGTAGCAAATGTGGACTGTATGCTTGACAGGCTTCTCGAAGCCATTCTTACATGCTGATGACTGTCTCCAGGTGTTTCTCCCATTCACTCATATTTCTAGGTGTACCTTTAGATGCACATAACATGTACAGCACCTCACAGACTACTTTACACGCTGTGGCTCATATGCATAAGAAGCAGTCATATACTGAATGAAGCCATGGGTCCATCTACTGAAAGATTGTCTAAACTGACTGATGGCTGTGTAGACAAAGAGGTTTCCCTGCTCGACCTAGAGATGCTAAGGGACCTTTGGCATGTAAAGAACATGCTTTATCACTGAGGAATGTGCTTTACCTGGTATGGATGCCAGCCTACTTCCTGGCAGGAGCTACACTCAAGTGTTCCTCAGAACTTCCTGCCCACCATGCAGAGAGACGTAGGTGGTGGTCAGGGCCCTGGTGCAGATGCTTCCTCCACTGCACCCCCATGAGTAGCTTCTGGAGCCCCTGGTGCACTGCTGAAAGCTCGTTCTATGTGCAGGCATGTGCCCGTGTGGTCAGGGAGCTGGCAGTGTGCGCTGTAGTGAAGGGCAGAAGTAGGGCAGCTGCATCCAGGGGCTGGATGGATACTACTGTGGACGGAGCGCTGTGGGGGTCAGGGACGTCTTAACGCACGGGCCTGATGGGCACTTGCCCGTGGGTCCCATAATTATCTGTGTATGTTAACCCTTGGAAAATGGGAAAACTTCCAAAATTAACAGGAGTTGTAGTTGTCGTAGGGGCCCCAGTACACTGCTTTGCCCAGGGCCCACAATGCTGTTAAGATGGCCCTGGTGGGGCTAGGGTAGAGGAAAGCATGTGGGCAAGTGCTATGGGGCAGCAGAGTTCACACGCCAGCAGAAGAGACCACTATGTTGAGTAAACACCGGGCAAGCTCTTCTCTGGCACAGTCACCCTTTCCCTGCTCCCCATGATGCCGCAGAAATAAAGGCCTGTTTGCAACAGTGTTGTGATTCTGGCTGCCGGGGTGGGTGGAGAGGGGCTGGGCAGCACCAGATGGGACCGCTCACAGCATGGGGGGCTGATGGGATACTTGCCCCCATGAGGGGGAATGCTGGAGGAGGGTGGTAACCATGCGATTGTCTGAACCCGACAACCAGTTAAGAAACCATGCTGCACGGTAACCACACAGCATGGTTTAGCATTATGTGTGAATGCAGCCTTTCTGAAGCTGTTCTGCCCTTTCCTCCTAGACCTATAGTTGTCTGGCATTATGTGGTTCTAGAAGAAAAAGAAAAAAAGGAGGAGGAAGAGGAGGAGGAGGAGGGCTGGCCGGCTATCTGGTTTATGGGTGTGAGGAGGAAGTAAATGTGGAGGCTTAATTAGCATCATTGCAAACTAAATGTTTTCATTCATCAAGTCCCCAAGCAGGGAATATTTTTATTTTTTCTCCTGATATTTTTCCTTTTTCCTTGAATATTTTTTGCTTGGACATTATTCATTTCCTTTATGTTGTGGAACAAGACCCAATGCTTTCAAACTTCCTTGTTTTTTATGGCTATTCAGACCTCTTTATGAGCAAATAAACAGGTTTGCTCCAGGGCTGCACATCTGAATGGGAAGGATGGGGTGAACCTGAAGTTTCATTAAGACCTCAGTATACAAAGACATCCCACTGCATTTGTTTGTTTTGACATCAGCTTAACGATGACTACTACTTCATCATCTTCTACCTTCTCAAAAAGCTATGCAACCCCCTATTTTGAAAGACTTTCTATAATTAAATGTATTTTATGTCTGTTCAAAAAGCAGTAAGATTCTAACGGTCATATGATTTTTTTATAGTATGCTCTCTGTGAGTGTGAAAGGATAACAATTTCTTCTACATTTTTGCCAAGCTGCTTGGTTACCACTTTTTTTGGTCTCTGCCCTTTTGTCTATAATTCTGAATGTTTCCATATGGTGACAAATGCTTATAATATAGGATTTACAAAAGCAAAGAGTCTTGGTTTTGTTTGTATGAAGAACCCAGACTAATAGAGTCCTTACATCATATATATATAAGCTAGGTAACTGGATGCTCCTGGGGTGCACAGGAGTGTATTGGGGGGCTAATACCCTCAAAACCAGGTGGAGTTAGTAGAGCTCTTTTCAACCCTGCCCTCACAGCTGAATTCCATTTCAGAGAGGCCCTGACAATGATGTGTAGGCAGGACTGGAGGCAGAAATGACGGGACCAAAGAACAACACCAGAATAAGCCCCAGCATATTTTAGCTTTCACGTCCAGTTACTCAGCCTCTAGAGACACATTTCAACCATTTAGGATGGAAGGAAACTGCACCAAGGCTGGGAAAATGCCAGGCAACCCGTGGTTCGTGGCAGGAGACTGGGCTTGGAAGAAGAACGAGTAACTTTTCAGGAATCCCCAGAAGGCTGGATCGTGAGGCAAATATAGACTTCAGGTCTGAAATTCTGTATCCCTAGGGAAAACTATCTTCTGTCTTTCATTTTCTAGGCACAAACAGCTACCTGAATGCCAGGAAGTAAAGGTTGAATGCTACCACCCACAGGGAGTTTTGTCTCCTGCCAGTTCTCTTAGAGCTATCCTCTATCTCTGTAAATGCGGAGGAGGGGGGCCTACTTCCCTCTTTCCGCACTTGGCCGTCCATAACTGCTATACTGATACCCAATTTGTATTTTACAATGGTAATTCAATTATGTGAACAATACCATGGTATATTAAGATTGATGCTTCCTTCTTCCTAATAGCAATGATCCGTAATGATATCTGAGGAGCCTATTTTATTGGAAATGTCTGCATACACAGGGCAGGGGATGGAAGAACTGCACACTAGTCTTATGGGGCAAACTCTTCTTTATTGTCTTTAGACAACAGCTGTGAAGATTAAAAGCCAAAATGGCTTCTTCAGCAACTGGAAAGAAGCCAAGCTACAAGAGAAAACTCATAACTGAATGCTTGACAGTGTTTCCTGCAGGCTCCCAAAACTGTGATGCTTCTCCAGAGGAGTGCTTCTCCCGGTGCCTGGCTTCCACTCAGGGATCTTGCCTCTCAAGCATGAACTCTGAGAGATTTAGAGGTAAGTGGAAAACCAGGCATTGCCAGATGGTGTCATGTTTTGTACTCAGCCCTTATCAGACTGGCTTTGAGCTTGGATTTGGGACGGCAACTCCGTTTGTCCCCTTGGTGGGTGGTTTTCTTCAGAAGAGGATATAGAGGGAATATTGCTGTGTGGGTCTTATGATCCCTCTCAGTAGCTACCTCGATTGCACTGCTTTGTGGTGGGAGGTGGTTGTGAAGTCAACTGGGTAATTCCTTAATTGGCTAATGGCAGAAAGTGCTGTTTGGGGTGCAAGACATTTAGCCTGCAATTTGCCCCTGAATTGTCTTCTGTCCTGTTTGTGGCTTTCACTTCGTGGTTATACATCAGGGCTGTGAGGGTCACAGGTTGTCCCCCAAGCCCTGCCACTGCTGAAAAGAGAGGGGTGGAGGGAAAAGCGCATCCTAAGAATATGCTTGCGTTGCTGCCATAAAAGCCTTGTTTCTATCGAGTTGTAGAAAGCCAGGTTCAAAGGTTTGCACTGATTTCCTACGATGCTCTGGGAATGCTTTTGGATTGAAGCTTTTACGCAGTATCCACACAGCATATTCCTAGACTGTTTTTCCTCATTTTGGTGACTGGGTTGAGTGGCTGGGATGGGAAGGAGACCTCCATCTCAGGAGGGATTTTTAGTCACCTTGCTTTCATAACTAAACAGACATCTTCAAAACAGGTGGCAATACTCTATGTCCAGCTAATGCTAATAGATATTCTTGCTCCAGCCTCTTCCAAAAGAAACTCTGATAAAGTATCTACAATGAATTGCAGTGGTAATCAAAACCTTTTTATTTAATCGTTATTTTAGAAATTAGTATTTTAATGTTTCACCAGTTCCTTTTGATTTAATTTTTTTGGTTATATTATTTATTATATTTGCATGTATTGTTTTTTTGTATTTTGTTTTTAATGATTGCAAGCTGTCCTGAGATGCCATGCATAAGGGCTGGCATATAAAAGTTTTAAATAAATGAACAGTAATTTATTGTATGCCTATTTAGGGGTGTTAAGTGTGGATATTTCTGGGTGTGGCAGACCTGTGTGTGTATGAGTGATACATGCGGTATATGAATGTTTGCCTGTGTGCGTGCAGACGCATGTGCACATCTGAATGGATGTGACCCCACCCTGGTTGCACCATACCAGAGGACACATGAGGAGCCAAAATGGTTCTTCACTTCTGGCCTCGATGAAGCTGCTGGAAGAGCATCCAGAAGTTTGGTGCAATCCGTAGACCCAGAACATCTTTGTGGCCCTTTTCTGCTGATACAGGAGAAGCAACTTGCCTGAGAACTGGCTGAGTAGACCATGTTATGGGGACAAGATGGCTGGACATCTCCAGATGGTTCATTAGTCAAGTTACACTGTCATCAGGGATGTTACACTGTTATCAAGGGACACATCTGAGATATTAGAAACAGCAACAAACAAAGAGATGCGAGGGTCCCTGGCTTCTTGTTCCCCCTTCTTGTTCTCCCATCTCCCAAATCTGTGCTTACCTGTACCCGGGCCTCGGTGAGATCTGTCCGCATGGCTAGCTGCTCTCTGGCATAGACATCTGGGTAGTGGGTCTTTTGAAAGACCTTTTCCAGCTCTTCCAGCTGGTAGCTGGTGAAGGTGGTGCGGTTCCGCCTCTTCTTGCCCTTGTTGCTCTCTGAATCAGTCTTGTCCATTGGGCTGGGTAGGTCATTACTCGCCCTCTCTTGGGATACCTTCACTCCCGTCTCTTTCACACTAAGGTAAGTGCCATCCATGCCAGCAGGATCTGAGCCTGGCTGTAGCTCGGCCTCTCCCAGGGAACTCTCTTTAGCTGTGTAAGTGGCAGTGAGTGGGTGGGAGGGAAATGGGAACAAGGAAGGAGAGAAAGAAAACATAAAGACATGGATAAATCAAATCTGAGCAGGATTTACACCACCATGAAAAGGGGGTAAATACACAGGGAACTGAAGGAGGAGATGGGCAGATAAGGATTCTAGGAGAAGGCTGTAAGTCAGAAGGAAGAATTGGAGGAGGTCGTCGCTTTAGGAATTGAGAAAGACAGGGCCATTTGGCTTAGGATGTATATGAATGGTGAAGGAAGCAGCTGGAGACCTATAAAATAAATAAAAGGATTCAGTTTTAATGACTTAGGGAAGATTAGCTGTATGACTCCATGCTGGCAGGGATTTGAAATGGTCTTGCTAGTTCTGCTGTGGTTTCCTGTGCTGCGGCAGTTCACGTCAGGGTACATAATGGACAGACGATAACAGGGCTATCTTGTGGGTTCCCATAGCGCACTCCACTGATTACACAGTATGCGTTCTAACATTAGATTGTGCAAATACAGTCATATGGCGCAGTGCTATGTAACTTATTCGCATGGCCTAAGGGCGGGGAACATCCAAAACACTCAATATATAATGGAAATTCCTCTTCTCCACAGACACATGCACTGCAGTGCTTGTCAAATTAACCTACCCATCAACCTGACGTGAAGGTAGTAACGTATAAAAAATAATGTCCTACAGCACAATCCTATATACAGCTGCTTAGAAGTAAATTTCACTGACTTCAATGATGCTTATCCCAGAAAACAGGAGTGAGAATAGCCATACAGGTTGTAGCTCCATCCTTTCTCTTTCATTGGATTTAGTACTGTATCTGATCCTATTTGGTCCTGCCCCTTCTTTAAATTTAGCAGTACAATATCCTGTAAGTGGAGACCTATAGCAAAATGTTGCAAGATATCCCCCAGCCCTGAATATGAGTGCTTTTCAGGGCTCTGGAGTAGGACAGCGGTAGCAGCAGAAAAGATGGTGCAAAGTGCATTTTGTGGTAGAGAATCTTTGTTCCACAGGTTAGATTTCTAAAAGAGAAATAATAATCTATTTCATCTTGGTGCTCTTATTGTAAACATACCTTAACTTCTGCAGCAGATGCAGAGTGCTTAAACTAATGGTCTAGAAGCTAACACTGTGAATGTCTGCAGGGATGGGAAGTTCTTCAAGATACAGAAATAATAGTTTTATTCTTGGGTGACCCTATTTCACTTTCCAACTAATAGGAATCTGATCACTCAAGTTCACTTATGGGGGAAAAGCCTACAGCAAATCTTGTAAAGTGAAGCATCCCTATTGAAGTTTCCAGCCAGTGAGCCATTCCCTCTTCACAATTTTCCATTTTTCTCCTCCACAGATCCTTAGCATTCTGTGCCACTGAGCCTATTCAGTACTCATTAGGCTATTGGAAGAAAGGGTTGCCCACTTTGGTTTTTGTCTTCAGTATTTCTGTAGTTTTGCAAGCCTCGGCTGCATGTTTATAGTTCTCTCTTGTTCTTCATTGGTCCTGTTTTGATTACAGTCCTGTCAGCAATCACCAGTTAAATTCACTATGAGTAAGAATGTTGACAACATCATCTATATCTTGTCCATTCCAAACCACAGAGAACAAATAGTACTCTACATGGAGCCTAAATTGTTCTGGGACCTACATTAATAACTGGGTTGGAAGATGCCATGTGATAACAATGCCTCTAAGCATGTGCATACATCTTTGTGTCATCAATCAGCAACGGGAGCCCTCTGCCTTTAGAAGCGACTTGTTTTGCAGAACAGAAGGCAAGTCCTTACACCAGCCTCTGCCTCATATACTTAGAACACTTCCACCCCACAAAGGTCCATATTTCTCTCTCACTTTTTTCCATTGTGGGAAAAGGTGGGTACATATGACTCCTAGGTGATCCCTCCTCCAACAGAACTAGACCTACTTAGCTTAGCTTAGCTGAAATCCGTGCGGCTTATTTCCGCCATGATATGTGAACTAGCCCTGTGATTCCTTTCAGAAATAAATAGCTGGGATGGGGGTGAATGTACCCAATGGCTTCTTAATGCGCGGAAATAGAGATATCACAGTGGCAGTGGAGGTTTTTGTATTCAGTTGGTTTTGTGGCTTCATTAGCCTACTTCCTAAAGTCTCTGTTCAACCTGGTCTAAGATGGTAGTAGCAGGGCCTTTTCCAGGTTGCTGCCAGTGCAGTGGAAGGCCATCTCCAGGGAAGTCTGCCATGCCCAAAATTACACTGCCAAACCCTGGCTTTTTCATATGCCACTGGACATTCGAGATGCATTGATATCTGATACTGTGTGATGGATACTGCTGAGTGCTATTCACTCTTGCTTTTATTCTTCTGGTTCCCTGGATGCCTAAGACATCCTGTTTTTATGTTTGCTGCGTTTTATGGCTGTTGTTCATGATGCTTTTTTTTTTACTCTGCTTCCTTATTTTCTCTAATCAGCTACCCAAACTTTATTTTTTAATGGGAGGTCTCTCTCTTTCTCTCACTCTCTGTGACAGCTTAACTTTTTCACTTCTGTCACTTTTCTACCTCCTAATGCTCTGTCCTCCCACTCCCAGAAGAGGGGGGTGGTGTTTCCAAAGGGTGCCTCCTAGCACTACCAGTCAGAAAACATTGTGCAGCAATTCAAGCTTTTTCCCTTGATGGATTTTCTGCATAGAAAAAAAGACGGAAGAATAAGAAAGAAAACATGGGAAGGTTATGAGTAGAAGACGATGGTGTTTAGACATCCCACCAAAGTTCTGTGAATGAGGGAGGGTGATGATGCAACCAAAGCATCATGGAAGCAGCCAAAGAAAAGCAGCACACTGGGGGAAAACAACGCAAGACTAGACTTGTATTGTTGCACTTCACCATGAAGACGTCATAGTTTGCAAATATATGTATGTTTGGAAAGTAAACTTGTGTTGACTTCACAGCATACTAACTGCTTGTGTGAAGAAACTTTGAACCTTGTATAATTCTGATGATATTCCTGAATTCTGTGCTTGCATTAGATTTTCCCTTCAAATTATGAGCTTGAAACTGAGTGCTGTTTTGTAACTCATTTGCAGATATTCTGTCTATAGTCAACCACACACATGGTTTTTTTTTACTGAATGTTTATTTTGCCACCAAATTTGAGAATATATAAAGCTTGCTGTCCAAAAAAGTGACTTTGTATGCCTTGACTTTATAAATTATAACCATGCAATTGTGGGATGGCTCAGATTTGCTGGATGTTTTGATAAACTACTAAGTCTGTCCAGGAGACAGAAATCACAGTGATAGGAAAGTGAAAATAATGAACAGCCTTAAATAGAAGAGCTTTAAATAAAAAGATAGCACAAACCCATGGGAAAGATGGCCATTGCGCTACTCTCAATTTGAAAGGAACTCATTAAGCCATCTAGGGCCAAGGGCCAAGGAACCATGCAACTAGTTCCCACAGGAGCTTGACAGTGCAATCCTATGTATGTTCACAGAGAAGTCAGTCCCACAGCAATCCATAGAGCTTAATCACAGACAGGTGCGTAGCTTTAAAGCCGCATGCAAGGACCATGCTGTTGCCTCTGTTTTGCTGCATGGCAAACTACTTTGGGAACTGAAGGGTATTTCAAAACGCATGTTGCAATATGGCTGGGCATTCTCCAGTGGGGTGGCCAAGGGCACCCACCAAGCCCTCTCCTCCTGGACATGCACATGGTGGGCATGTCGTGAGCGGAGCCGGCTGGTGCCGGAGGTTGGACTGGACGGCCCAGGAGGCCTCTTCTGACTCGCTCTGTTTCTATGTTTCTATGTTCCTCCTGATCTTTATTGATAAAAAAAGAGCTGAAATGCTGGCATGTTGCAAAGCTAAAGGCTGCACCCCACCTCCATCTTCATGTTTGCTTTATGTTTAAGAGCTCAAACTTCATGTGTGCCTTATGCTTAAGTTCTTGGTGCTTAGATACTTTTATCTCACCAGCTTGCCTTCTGGAAGATGAGTGTCTGGGCCTGGCCAGGCCCACTATGGCAGCCATTTTATGACTAGGCAAGCATTCTCTCCAATGACAGCCATTTTGTGAGAGCTTCTGGGATACTCTCAAAATTCCAAATGTGCCACTGACCTAAACAGTTTGGACACCCCAACAATATGGCATGGGGGTGAGCTGTCCAAAGCAAGGAAAAAATGTCTCCAACATCTTTGGTAGTACCAACCCCTTACATGAGCCTGAGCAGCTCCCTGGATCTTGGTGCAGGCATGCCATTCCTCTCCTTCTAATGAACAAGCTGATCTACATGCAGGGGCCAAATCTCTGACAGCACATTCCAGGCGGCCCTATCCTCATATCCCCTGCAGATTGCCAAAAGCAACTATGTCATCTGTTAAAGAAATTACTTAAAGTGGTACAGAGCTAGAGCTTTGTGAGCAGATCTCAGGAGCCTTGTCCAGGTATTTTGTATCAGTGACTCTAAATCACAAAGGAGGCATCACTGAACATCCCATCATCTCAGGCACTAGTGCTATCACACTTAGGTGGTCTGGCTATATAGACGCCATTCTTAGACCAAATGCCACCAATATTACAAACTACACAGGTTACAGCACTGACTTCCTAAGGAATCTATTACCATTGCCATTGACAATCTCCCAGAAACCACCATCTTAGCTGCCATGGATGTTGAAGTCCTTTACACCAACATTCCCCATAAAGATGGACTACAATCCACTCAGAGTATCATTTCAGATGAGGCACAGCCTGTCTAGCCACCAAAGTCTGCTATTATTTACTCATCCACAATTATTTCTGCTTTGAAGAGAACATTTGCCTTCATCTCAATAGCCCCACCATGGGAAACCACATGGCTCCATAGTATACCCAAGTCTTCATGGCTGACTTGGAACAATGCTTCCCTAGCTCTTGTTTCCAATAGCTTTTTCTCTGTCTGACATGTATCGATGACATATGTAGTATTTGGACTCATGGATAAGAAGCCTTCAAGGTTTCTACCAGA